TCCAAAGCTGCTATTGTCAGGTGAAGTAGTCGTAATGCGCACGATGTCCTTGTCTCAGTTTTTCTTAATAAAAAAGACGAAAAACTGTGTCAACAGAAGCCGTTGTCTCTTGAAATGCATTTAATGGATTTGTAAATGCCATTAAAAAACTTAATCAAATTGAGAGATAAGAAATATTTAAAAATATGACAAAAATAAACACTAAAACTAATAAGTTTAGTAAGACAAAAATATCATCTTCCTCCCAAGGTTAAAAATGCCGTTAAAAATGTCGTGCACAAAAAACCGAATAAATTTAATTCAAAATTATCAAAAAAAAAAAAATCAATCAAAAAAAAGATAGTAACTCTACAGGTTTAAAGAAACATACCGTACATGGCATTACGTCTTGTCATGCACTACTAACATCGTCAAAAAAAAGTACTGCATCTTGTGACCTTGCCTTTGTAACATGGCTCAAAATTACAACAAATAAGAAAAAGAAAATACCACAGCACCAAAAAAAAAAACACACCACAGTGCAAAAAAAAAAAACAAAGAAAAGGTAGGAAATCATGGCAACACTTTTTCAATGCTAGCGGAACACTTTTGGCCAACAGACGGAAAAAGAGTTGAAAAAGAAATTCAACAATAAAAACAAAAACGCATTGAGAAAAGTGTGTTGTGTTGCAAGAATTTCAACAAAATTCGAAATTACAATGAAAAAAAAAAAATCGTAATTAAAATTGAAATAAAACAATGATTGTTAGCACCACCAGTCGCCCGGACCGTCGGCCTGTTCGTCTGTCCGTATATGCAGTAGGCAATCTTTAGTAATTAAGTGGCTTTAACTGTTGCAATGCATCATTGACCGTTAAATGTTGTAGGTAATGGAATATATATTTTTTTTTTTTTTTTTTTTGGCAAAGCGCTCACAATGAGCACTGGCTATGTCATGTTGCTGGACCGCGTGCGTGTCCGTCCGAGCGAATGTTTGTTTGTTCAATGCTCTACTTGTCTGCCATTAATTCACTGCGGTTGCAGTTTGTTTGCTGGATATTGTTGTATATTCAGTTATGTACTACTCTCGTGTGTTTAAAATAAAAATTAATAAAAAGAAAAAACTTACTATAATTAATGGAGTTGGAGTGCTGACCGCTGCAGTTACATTTTTATAATTAATTGCATGCCGTACTTACTGAACTTTTGCGGCACGTGGTAGTGACATTTGCGTATTTAAATTATTGAAAATTTTTTAAAATATTTGTTATTTTAATTATTTAATTTATAACCTTCGAGTTGTCAAATGCCCACATTATTATTATTGTAAGGGAATGTGGCACTGCGATCATCGGGTCTATTGTGCCCCCTTCTGGGTTTAGCCCTGTTGTCTATAAGCCCTGTTGCGTCAAAAAAAAGTAGTATAGAACCTACTTTACAAAGTTAACTTGCCTCTTCCATTAGAATCTACATTCCTAGGAGTCTATTTCGTATGTGCATTCGCGCAGAGTATTCTAACAGCACATGTGTGGGCGACTCCTGATTCTCTTCAAAGAATCTACAGTTTGCATCCGTAATTATACTCAGTGTTGTAAGGTGGTGTTTTAGTCTTCAATGTCCTGTTAGGATTCCTGTGATAATTTCAAGTTTTTTTTTTTGATAGGTTCATACAATCCTGGTATCTCTTATTTTTATAGGTACCAATAAGTGATTTGAATTTTTTTAATCCTGGTATATTATCTCAGTAATCCTTTTTATTCTGGTTCTCCTTTATGAGAGAAAGGAGCGTACTATTTCCTTGTCTACAAAAAGATTCCAGCCCCATCATCGGTGTGGCTGCTCCTTTCCTGGTTAGTTTGTTCACGTATTCGTTACCGTGTACGCCAGTTTGTCCCGGTACGCAAAGAATCGGCACATGATTTATTTCGCCAAGCAGATTTAGCTTATCAGGGCAGTCTAACATCAGTCTTGAGGTCACCTGTTGTGAGTTCACTACCTTGATCGCCGTTTGGCTGTCTGTTAGTATTGCAATATTTTTACCCTGGTAACTCCGTTCAATATTCAAATGTCCGTGAATTCATTCTATACTTCGTCCTTTAAAAACGGCGTTCGCGATTGTAAATTACAAAACTAATGCTGGTCGAATTATCTCCTGAGGTGCTTATAATTACATCCACCCTGTTTATCTGATTTGATACAATTTGATTTGTATTTATTTCAAAATTTAATAAGCGGCTTTTTATGAATAAAATTAATTTGAACTCGAATATTCTCTGCAAATAATAATTATTTTATAGACTTCTAAGAATCTCACTTTTTTAAAGTAGAAAAAGAATTGAATTACAGTTAGAAGTCTATAGAGCTTATAGGGCAGTTGTATCGGAAAATATATATAGCTAATATTAAACTTCTTATATTTATTACTTCCAATTACTATCAAAAAGCATTATTATAAATAAATTATTTTATTATTCTTGATTCCTTTTTAACACAAATTTTATAGACTTTATTAATTTATTGTGCGCTTTACACACATAATAGAAAGAGGTATATCGGTTCGTATTTATATGTAGATTCGTTGATTTGCAATTTAGTCCCTCAGTTTTTGAGTTTTGCCCAGGAACTTGTTGCGAATCCAGGTACATAAATATGATGATTTGACGTGTTATAAAAAAAATCCATAGATCTATACAAACCTCTATCTTTTGTAGGGGAACACACGCAACTAATTACATCGTTCGCTCAAATTTATTAAGGAGAAAGTCTTCTTAGTTGACATTCAAGCTATACTAATCTGTTTCTTTGAAAATTTTAACGCTCGTCAGAACAAGCTTGACGCATTCTATTCATAATACGTCTGATATACATAATCAATTCATCTTAAAAATGTATTTTTATTTTCTGCACTATTTAAAGTTGTAGTATAATCAATTTTCAAAGGTGGGTATATTTGAAATTAATCTTATTGCCGCCTTCTCAACCAAATCCTTTTTAGTCTTTCTTAAAACGAGTGAAATGGATATCGAACATATGCTTATGTTCATCAGCAGTATTGGGATCACTCGCTACAAAAATTTTTAAGTATTGCTTGAACTCTTTCTCTTTATTAGCTTCCATAATTGCCTCTTTATTGGAATGCAAGCAGCCCAAGTATTCGCCATGAGGCTTTAAGGATAGATTCATGTGGTATAACCCATTCGTTTGTAAAGTTACAGTAATTATAATATCTGCTTTGTTATGATTACCAATAAGTTTTCGGACTTTACTCACCAATGAATTTCTAATGACAGGATGATCTTTATTTAAGCAATGAATGCAAAAACTGGATGCGGCATTGAGGTCTGAAGTTTCACTTTGGAATTTCTGACTGCTTACTGATTTTGATCGACGGCATCCCTTTCTTTTCTTACGTGACTCGTATGGTGATGTTTCGTTAGAATAATATGATCCTCTTTTATGACCGCATTTACTACACTGTGGTACTGGTTGTGGCGTATATGGTACTGCTGACCGTGGCACACATGGATGAGATTCTGAATCTTGGATTTGAAATTGCTCAGTTGCAGCTTTTTGAGGTCGATTTGGTAAGCACTCATTAGACAGTTTAGTTCCTTTTCTGCCAGCACGTTTGTTGCATTGTGGTGTTGTTTGCGGCATATATGGTATTGCAGGTCGAGGTTTACATTGGTTAGGAGTTGAAGCATTCGCTGGTTTTTGTTCAGTTAATATTGTTTCTGTATTACCAGCACATCTATTACAGTGTGGTACAGGTTGTGGCGTATATGGAACTGCAGATCGTGGCGCACATTGAAGAGATTTTGATGGTTCGTTTCGGCACTCAATTTCTTCTGATCTCATAGTATCCCCTGACTTTTCTTCAGTGAATATATTTTTTCTTTTATCAGAACGTTTGTTGCATTGTGGTGTTGTTTGCGGCATATATGGTATTGCAGGTCGAGGTTTACATTGGTTAGGAGTTGAAGTATTCCCTGATTTTCGTTCAGTTAATATTGTTTCTGTATTACCAGCACATCTATTACAGTGTGGTACAGGTTGTGGCGTATATGGTACTGCAGATCGTGGCGCACATTGAAGAGGTTTTGATGTTTCGTTTCGGCACTCATTTTCTTGTGATCTCATGGTATACCCTGACTTTTCTTCAGTGAATACATTTTTTCTTTTATCAGAACGTTTGGTGCATTGTGGAACTGATTGTGGCATAAATGGTATTGCAGATCGTGGCTTACATTGATGTGGGTCATTTCTTTCAATCTTGTTTTCTCTCCTACCAGAACGTTTGCAACATTCTGATACAATTTGTGGCGTATATGGTATTGCAGGTCGTGGCGTGCATTGACTAGACGCTTGAGTTCGGGCTTTTGCATCGGAATTATATTCTGATGTTTTATTCAGTGAATCTTTCTGCGAGCAATAAAAGTTAACGTCTACAATAGACGAGTCACTGTAAACAGTATCAATGCTGCAGTTTGAGCCAATAGTTTGACGCATTAAGGCTTCCGTGTATTTTTCTTGTTTTTTTAAATCGCGTTTAATACGCTCAAGCTCCTCTCGTAAATCGTTCGGTTTGCCTTGTTGATTTTTACCAAATGTTTTTTTTTTTTGACTCCGTGTAGATATTTTCGAACATGCTTTAGTTTCCGGATGTGTATTGCCGTATGGTGACATACGTGGAGACTTCATTAAATTAGGAGTTCCATACTCATCCTGATGTGTGTTTTCATGTGTTTTTGTGGAACGTCTTCGTGGTGTCTCATATACTGATCTATTGTGTTGGTTTAAGTCACGGGAGTCGTGGTTATTCATTTTTTGACAGTTTTGCTTTATGTTGATAAACACATTTTATTTGCAGGTTTTATTAGTGTGAAGGAAAGTATACTAAAATTTAGATGTAAATAATTTTTTTGAAGTATTTCTCCAATATAACCTGTTTTTTCAAATGCAATCCATATTTCATCAAATTTTATTTGTCATTTTTAACAGAAATTAAAACACATACGTCCAAGGAAGAAAGTTTTATATTTCTTTGACACATACATATCTACATATTATGTTTATATCGATACAAAGTTCAAGTTTTTAGAAGTACTGTAGCAGACTCATCGGATAGACTGTATAGCATACATTGTAAGTATGTTTAGATTTTGAAATCAAAAACTTATGGTTAATCATGTAATTATTATATTTATATTATAGAAAAATCTCTGAGAAGTACAACTCCTGTTGAAGGAATATCTTTCTTTGATGGAAAATTTTTAAAAACGAATTTTTATACTTCAAAACAACTAAACCCTTTGAATGGACAAAAATTGGCGGTGGTTAACAGAGCTCTAACTCTACTTTTCTTGACTAGGTAGCTTCAATAAGGTACAAATATTATTTTCATGAACATTATTTTTTTATTTCTAAATGCGAAAGAAAAAATTAAAATTCCAGCACCATCCAAAGATGAATAGCCGCCACTTTTCTATATGGAAATATGGTGGCCAAGAAAATAAGCTTACTATTTAGATTATACTGTGTTAGCCTGTACAGGTAGTGTGGAGTCAGGTCATTGTGTGTAGAGTCATGTGAGTGAAAATGGAGAAAGATCAGATTTCTCGAGCAGATTGCGTAATGTTGGTCAGAAAGGGTGCAGTGAAATCGTATAGCTTTTGCATGATAATTGGTACTAAGTCAACCATATTTTCCGGGTACTTTTTGAGCAGAAGGTATATTTTCTTTTTAGTTAAGTGTAGTAAAAATAGTATGATATTCAATTACTTTTTATACGAAAATCAATTATACGACGAATTCTTTTTAACATCCAAAAAAGAAAATATCTCTTAATAATTGAATTTTTTTATTAAAATATTTTGTTCGTCTTTGTTGAGTACGAAATGGTGAGTGCTATATTTTTTAAGCCTTTTTCCTTTGCTTTCAACTAAACTAACTCCAAACGAGGCTCTCGGTATTTGATCATTTTGTGTTACATATAATTTGAATTGTCATTTAAGCGCACTCCTCCTCACACGCCAAACCAATTACATAAGCGGTGCAATGGAATGCGATATCCAAGTTTTTTAGGCCCACTAACTTTTTTGGTCTTGTCGGAGTTGGTCGAGAGACGATTGAAGTGCAGTTGTACGTAAATGCAATGAGTCAATTGTAGTTGTATTTCGGCATGTTGTCATTCCTGAATTTCGGTAATGTGTGAATAATTATTTAATTTTTAGAAAATGGAAAATCCTATAAAAACACTAAAATAACTGACATAACGAAATATTGAAGAGTGGATAAATGCAATAAAAATGAGCATTTTAGATATTTTGTTAAGTAAAGGCGAAGACAAGTGAATGCGACATGTGGCAAGCACTGAACACACCTTAGAGTACTGTCAAACTGCATTCCGTATTAACGAGATTTGTCATACAAGCGCTTCGATTAATCAAGTTGAGTGATCTCGATTTCAGCGCTACTGTTCTCACTACGACAGGTGATAAGTTGGTAAATGTGTCATATCGCAAAATCGTTCCCATTTATTTGGTTAAAGTTTGCTTCACAAAGATGAAAACAGTCCAAACTCGTTGCTAACTTTATTAGAAGAAACGCAACAACAACGAATGAAACTTTAAAAAAAAAATTATGCAAATTAATTATTATGCATTTATTAATGAAAATGATTTACAAGTAATTTATTCCAATTTTATAATCTAAATAAGTTCTTCGTTTAAATTTCGAATTTAATTCACTGAGTCTTCGAACATGTATCGATTTTTGAACAATTATCAAAATAAGTACACACCTATTTGTTTAATGGGGCGTATATATACATGGGGGTAAGCAATATTTAATCTTCATGACAGAAGACTGTCTCCAAGTTGAAAACTCAAACAACTCTTCAATCACTTATTTATTTTTTTTAGTTGGACAATTAATATTAGCAGTATTATTAGTGAGATGCTTTATCTTTACTTTTTATTAGGAACTATAATTTTATTTTTTTTATCTTTCAAGTTGTTGCCAATAAAGGGTACAATCGTTTTGTCCAAGTGATAGTAACGCGATTAAAGATACATTGGAAATTATATTAACAGTATGTATGTGTAGTATATATAGCATAACAAGACAAAGTAAGTGGTTAAGTGCTGGCAGTCTGTTTATTAATTCGGTTTTCAGTCTCTGTAAGTTAGACATTGAGTTTATCCATTGGAAATTTTAGATTTTTTATAAATCCTGACAGATGCAGTCCGCAAATAAATTGGTTTCTATATTTTTTCTATATTCATTCATTTTCATTTTTTTTTTTTGTAATTTTTGTTTTATTTAATTTTAATTTTTCTTTAAAAAGACAATTAAATTTTGTTTTTTTATTCTTTATTTAATTTTTTTGTTTTTTTTTATATTGTTTTGTACGTTTTTCATACTTCTTTCTTTTTTTTATGGTATTTTTTTTTGTTTTAAAAATAATAAAAATAATTATAAAAATAAAAATAAGTAATTTAAAAGTACGACAATTCAAAATACTTTTATTTTATTAAAAAAAATTTTTTTTTATTCTATGTTTTATTTTATATTTTAGTTTTATTTAATTTTGTTTTTTATTTATATCTTTTAAATTTTTTTGTTTTAAAAAACCTTGTAACATATTTTTCTATACTTATTTTTAGATTTTTATTGATTTCTGTTTCTTTTATTTCTTTTTTTTTGTTTTTAAATTTTATATTTTCAACTCTACAGTTCCAATACAGTTCCCACAAATAAATTGGTTTCTATATTTTTTCTATATTCATTCATTTCCATTTTTTTTTGTTGTAGTTTTTGTTTTATTTAATTTTTATTTTTCTTTAAAAAGACAATTAAATTTTTGTTTTCTCTTTGGTTTTTTATTCTATATTTAATTTTTGTCTTTTTTTTATATTGTTTTATACGATTTTAATACTTTTTTCTTTTTCTTTTATGGTACTTTTGTTTTAAAAATAATAAAAGTAATTATGAAAATAAAAATAAGTAATTTAAAAATACGACAATTCAGAATATTTTTATTTATTAAAAATATTTTTTTTATTCTATATTTATTTTATTCTTTAAGTTTTATTTAAGTTGTTTTTTATTTATATTTTTAAAATTTTTTTTTGTTTTAATTAATCTTGTAACATATTTTTTTATAGTTATTTTTAGATTTTTATTATTTCTGTTTCTTTTTTTTGTTTTTTTTTGTTTTTAAACAAAAGTTTTCTTCGTAAGTTGCGAGTATTTTTTTGCTACTCTGAAAGAAAAAATTACGGCTAATATTATGTTTAAAGCGTTTAGTTTATTTCTGAATCTTAACACAAATCTAAACGAATATATTTAAATTGAACATTTTTAAAAAATGAATTTTATTAAATTTATTGATGTAGTAGTTATTATTACAACGTAAACGCATTAGTGCTTTTCATATCCGTATTCACGTTGCTTGAGGTTCTCTCGATATCTAGGAAACCTGCCAAGGTATATTATTTTTGGACATTTTAATGGTGCCAAAGTGCGTTAAGAACGCTCTTATAGGTATCCTATATGCAAATAATAGCGTATAAAATAACTAAATATTTTTGTAGAAAAAAAAATATCTCATAAATAAATTTTGAATAAAACCTCGTTCGTTCCTCATTCCTCGTTCCTCTCTAGGTTTCGCATATATTTGACGTCGTATTATATGTGAAATTTGCAACTGTTCAAATATTTATTATTTATGCAATCGCAAAAGGCTAATTTGTTACAGTGGAAGCTAATTTTTTTTGAATATGCAAAATATTAACTGAGGCGTAAGGAACGTGTGTGTGCAGACTCAACAAGGACATGCTCCCGCACGACCCGAATATCCTTTATTTCTGCTTTTCAATTGAGGAACTTTTAATTTTATGCTAATTTATTTATATTTTTTTTGGACTTTTTGACTCGAGTTTTAATTTTCCTTTTTGTTATTATAAACTTCACGTTATTTTTTGTTTTCCTTACTAAATTTTGTGGGTTGCTTAACAAAAAATTTAAAAAAAAATCATCGAAAACGTGCTAAAAAGTATTTGCATTGAAGTGGTCGTCAGGTTTTTTGTAAAAAATTATTATATAATATTTTTAGTATTTTTTTAATTTAATTTTTTATTAGCCTTTCGACTTCAGTAAATTGTCAGCAATTCTTTTTTTTTTAATTTGAATATTTAATTTTATTAAATGCTCCACATATTTTTTCCAACACTTTGTTTTATATTTTGCGCTCTTAACAACATTTTAATTACATTTTATACAATTTTTTTTATTTTTAGGTTTTAATTTATGCATAAACTTTTTATTTCAACTTTTAAAGTTATTTTTTCAATAAATTTTTTTATATTCGTACAAGTCGAAATAATTAAGTTATGTCAGTCAGCCCTGCCAGAAGAAAGGTTACGCAAAACCTCTTGAAAGTAAAAGTTTTCTAATTTAAATTGTTTAATTATTTACATTTTCATTTTTTTTACACAGTTAAATGGTCAATTTAAGTATGGGCAAAATTATATTAGAAATATAATAAAAACACTTAGATGAAAAACGTGTTCGCCACAGTTATGAATTAACACAAAAAAAAAAAAATTAAATAAATAATAAATAATAATAAGAACAGTGTATTTTGCTTTGGTTGCTTTAAAAGCATAGAAGTTTATTTTCATAAATAAGTTTATATAAAAGATAATTGTCTAATTATGTTTAAATTGAACTTATTCTGCTTCTGAGACCACGAAGCAGATGAATCTGTATTAATTATTGCGCGGTGGCTGATAAAAGCAGAACGAGAGGTCATGAGAGAGGTCTATGTATATTTTTTTTTATGAGGAATTAAAGCAAGTCGCTTTAAACCGCTTTGTTCAAATGGATATATGCTCCTAGTATACACGAAATATCAAATACTTCGTCGGTGGGACCGTCGTGAGCATTCGGTATTATAATGCTTCGAGTAAACCTATTGGCTGTATTCCATATACTTAGTTGCATTTGATTTGATAAACTTCATTATATTTATCCATTGTGTTTATATTAGATTTGTTATTTGTGTATAGTGTGTTCGTTGTATTATGTTTTATAAATATATATAAAACATATATATTTATATATATATATATATATATATATTTTTTTTTTTTTCTCCTATATAGTATGGGCGTTTTATTTAATCCTGTCAAGGATGGTTTTATATTTGCTAAGTGTCTCTGTTTTGTCTATCCTTATTTTCAAAATGTGATCTCGCCAAAGAGACCAGGTATACCTCCAATTTTTGAGTACTGCACTTAGTTACCCTTCTGGTTAAGCCTGTCCTGTCAGAGAATCATTTTCTTTTCTTCCTTCTTCATTTGTTTGTTCAATGTTTGTGTTCCTTTTTGTTTTGTAAGTCCCCACTTAGAACCGTTATCTCAGAGTGTGGTACAGTCACATTTAAATTATTATATGTGAAAATAATATTAATATTATTTTATTTTTTACTTTTAAAATTTTTTATATATTTTTTATTTTTTTCTTTTTTATATTATCTCTTATTTTTGATCATTTTCATATTTTCTTTTTTCATTTTCTTGAAATTTTTATTTCATATATTTTTAAAAATTTATTGTATTTTTTTTATTTTTTTTTTTTTCTTATAACATTTTTTTTATTACCTTTTTGTGTAATATTTTTTTTTATAATACTTTTTTCTTTTTTTAACTTCATTTATATTTTTTTAATATTTTTTATTTAGTTTTTATTTTATTAATTATTTTATTTTTGTGTTTTTGTTTAATATTTATTTTTTTTAATATATTTTATTTTATCTATTTTGTTTTTACTTGTTTTATTTAAATTTTTTTGTTTTTAATGGGTACATGTTATTTAGTTTTTATTTTACATATATATATATTTTTTTTTTTGAATCTTTTAGTTAAATTGCTTACACCTGTCAATTAGCAGTAAATTAGTATTAATTGTTATTAGGTTTTAACATAATCAACATCCAATACGTAATGTACGTACAGTGAAGATGTCATCCATAAGCAGTTTGAAGTTTATGGAACTAGTTGTCTTGTCTAAATGCTTCATTAAATTAGTTTTATTGATTTAGCCATTTTAGGACATTAACATTTGCCACCGTTTCTTCGAATACTTAGTTATCTTCTCGTTACGCTTTGTTAGGTCTATTTCGGGTAAGTCATTAGTCATAAGTCATTATAGTAGGTGATATGACTTTGCCCATGGACATACCAAACTTTTGTTGATACAATTGATTGTCATAATAAAGCAATTATTATCTTTTAGCCAAAGTTCAATCATTTTACTTACTCTATTTTTAGATATCTTTATGAGGACTACATAGAGATAAAATTTCAATTTTTTTTTTGATAATCTAACTCCCTATATTGATAGGTACATAGGTATATTTCCTTTTTATCAAAATCATTGATTATATTATAAGTTTATTTGTAATGATTTGTATGTGGTCATGTCATTTAGTAATAATGGTATTCTCTATTTTTCTTCTGACTTGTACATTATCACTGTTTTGTTTCCTTTAAATAAATTTTATATATTTATAGTATAATAATTTCTACATTGTAGACTTTAATATTGAATCGTTTCTATAATAAATCCAGATTAATTATTCCAATTTGTGTCATATATTGTATTTGCATACTCCGCATTTTCGTGTTTTTAATTCTCCCAAAAATTGATCCAAAAATGATCCAAAAATTTTGAGCTTTGCCAAAACTGTCCTAAAAACAATAAATAACTCATGTCTCTTTAGTTGCACAGTTCCCCTGAATATATTAGAAATTGACAAAACTTGTACTATTGGTTTAAATGTAGGTAATTTTATATTATGTAGTTGATATTCACTTAGATAGTAGTTATTAAAATTGCCTGATGTAGTGTTTACTGCTCTGATGAGCAACACAATAACAATCTTAATAAATAAAAAGAATGTTTTGTATAAATAATACAAAAAAGATATTTTTTGATAAACATAATTAGAAGTTTACCTTTTTACATGAAACTTTAAAAATTGGCCATCTTCCTATTATTTATTGTGTAATGTTTCTTATCATGGATTACGCCTACTGGGGAGACCATGTAAAAAAAAAACGCTCCCTGCATTCTACCTCAATGGTGGTGTGGAATTGAATGCACAACCACACTTCGGTTCGATTACGTTATTACGATGGTTGCAGGAACCCATTTAAATCTGATAACATTATGCTACCATATAAAAGTCGAAGGGTTTAGAATAATTACAAGCCTTTCATAAAATGTAGAATGTTCTTTATGATGGAAAATATAAAGCTAAGTAAGAATGTTTAGAAATTACTGCTATTACATGTTCCATCTACATTGTCTAACTTGATAATAACAAAGTAGGTACGAACTGAACTGCAGTTGAACTGTAGTAGCAATTCAACTGATATTCTTCTAGATATATACTTTATTATATATCCCACGCAAGAAACCATCCCATTGAATTAAGGTAATTTAACAATATCTAACCAATGAACAGTCCGACAAACTGCAAAAGAAGTACTTTCTGACAATCTACTTTTTTTTTGAAGCCAAATCTGAAAACCAACTCTTTTTTGTAAAGCTCATTTTTGTAAATGGTTTTTCAATGTCTTGCTATAAGGCGGCCTGGTCAACCGGGGAGTTACATATGACTTAAGTACCTTTTTCTTATTAAAATTTCAGAAAAAAGTAGAGGTAAGTACTTCTATTAATGATCATATTTGTATATATTAACAACTTGTTTTTAAATAATTAATTAATTAATTTGATTTAATTTCTATTTACGGTTCAAAATCGTTTTTGTTAAATTTCTAGTTCCATGAGTAAAAAGATTTTATTTATATCTTTTATCTTCGTTTCTATCTATTGAATATTTTAGTTTTGTTTTTTTTAAGAACTCTTACCTTATTTATTTTTTAAATTTATTTTATTTTATATTTTTTTTATTTTTTACTTTATTTTTTACTATATTTTTTATTTTATTTTTATTTAATTTTAGTTTTTTAATATTTTTATTTATTTATATTTAAATTTTATTTCATCTTATTAATTTTTTGATCCTATTTACTTTGTTTATTTTTTTTTTTTGATTTTTTTAATTCTATGTAATATTTTTTTATTTATTTATTATTTTGATTTAATATAACTTTTTATTATTTTTATTTTATATTTTATTTTTTTCTTAATATTTTCTAGCTTATTATGTTATTTCTTACCTACCTTTTTCATTTCTTTTATCTCATTTCATTGTATTTATATAATTTTTGTTTTAAATTTTTTTAAATTTTTATTATTTTTAAATTTTTATTTCATTTTTTATTTTATTCAATTTTTTTGATTTATTTATTTTTATATTTATGTAAGCTTTTTTTATTTAAATTTTAAATTTCATTGCATTAATTGCTTTTATTTATTTTCAATTTTTTATTTGATTTTTTTAATATTTTATTTTATTGTTTTAACTTATTTTGGTTATATTTTTATTGCATTTTATTTATCTTTATTTATTACATTTTGTTTAATTTTTTATTCATCGTTTTCATTTGATTTATTTTTTTTCAGTGTATTGTTTTCCTTTTTTAAATTTTTTTTTTTATTTTTAATTTTTTCTAATTTTTATTTTTTTCCTTAATTTTTATTTTACTTGCTCGTTCTTTTTTTATTCTTATTTTATTATTTTTTTAAATGTTTTTTTTAAATTAATTTTTTTTACCACGAATTTTTTAATTTTTATATATAGATTTTTTTTATTTTTAGTCTTTTCTTTTAGTCTTTTATCTTTTTTAGTCTTTTAATTTTTTAATTCTAATTTTACTTGTTAATTCTATTTTTGTTTATTTTATTGTGTACATTTTATATATTTATTCTAATCTTTTTATTCAATTTTTTTAGGGAATTAATATTTTTTTAATATTAATTTTTTAATTTAATTTTTTATATATCTTTTTTTTCACATTTTTTTTTTATACAATTTTTTTTCAACACAATTTTAAAAAAATTATTTTTATGTTATTATTTTATTATGTGTTAATATTAACGGCAATAATTTCAAAAATGATCTGTGTTTTAATAATATAAATTACAATATTTAGAATTAAATTTAATTTTATATATCGAATTTTTCCTTTTTATTTACTTACGATATATTGTTAATAAATTTTTTTTCTGCAGACTTTTTTATTGAGGGTGTTTCGTACTAACATGCCTTAATTTAAACAGATGATTCGGGGTCCAAGAAACGAAAATATAGAAATGACTCAGAGGAAGGGTGATTGTTCAATACTTACCGAAAAGCAGGTTATCACATAGTCGTTCATCCGAAAAATATCGTATATCTCAAAAACGTTTCGTTAAAAATGCTTGAAGTGTGTTAATAATAATAATTAAATTAATTTTTGTTAACAAATGTACTTAAAGTTAATTAAATAATATAATACTGTTGTTAATAAATAATAGCTAATATTTTTTATTTTTGTTTATTTGCTGATACAAATGTACGATCATTACTTTGATCACTTGGAATGCCGTCTGTACGTACGGAAGGTTGGTTAATTAATTATTTCTAATAAACTTAGTAATTTGAAGGAAAGTTATATATATTATATATATTATATTATTGGTTTTAAAAACAAATTTCAAATTTTATATTTTACGATATTTAAAAGAATATTGCAAAAATTATTTTAGTTTCCACACTTGTAAGTATTCTAGTTCTCCTATTTATTGTGTAATTACGTTTTAATAAGACCTCTAATTTTTCAGTAATTAAATTTACTAAACTTGTTTATAGCTTAAGGCAATAATTTCATCTAGTTCCAATACTCCATTTTATGAAGCTTTATCATTCCTAATCTGTGATGAATTCCTAATTTTCCTTTATTATCTATATGTGATTCGAAAAACAGTTCTATTAATTATAATATAATGTAGGAGAACCATTTTTTAAATCGTAATATTAAATTAGATATTATTTAAATAATTAAAAATTTCTATATATGTTTACAAAGCCTTACAAATGTTTTCAAAGTATAAAAATGTTTTTGTTTTATTGTAATTTTAACTAAATCACCCATATCTGATTGCGATAAAAAAAAATCTAAAAGATATGTATTCTATATATTTTTAATAGTCTAAGCTTATACACTACTAATTAAAGAATGTGCCCTTATAAATTACACGTAAATGAAACATACCTATGATTGAGATTTAAATTTATTGTTTGGAACTTGCGAATATAGCATTCCATATAGTATGTGAAATATAGCATTTAAATATCCTACACGAAACTTTTTATAGCACTGAATCCATTCGAAGTAATTTTTTAAAATATCTCAGCCATATCTTGACAGATGTTAATTTTTATAGCGTCATAATTATTGAGATTGTCCATATAAAAACGATACTTTGAGTAACCGCACTAAAAAGTCATCGTGACAAATCGAATAATCTTGGTGGTTAATTCATAACACCAAACTGTAAACGTAGACTTATAGACTTTTGATAGTTACTTGTGGATTTTAACTGCTCCCGATGAAACAATATTGTTTAATGACATATCCATGAAATGAAAATTGGACCTTATCTGTGATGAAAAATCGTATGACTTAAATGACATTTAAACGCTACTGTTTGAACATCTTATCAGCATATGTTCAAAACGTTACAAGGTTAGCTACCTTTCGTTCTTATATTACCTCAATTTTATAAGGATTGAGATCCAAATCCAAATGTAAAATATCCAGCATCTTAAGATAAGACCAAATCCTGTGTGCGTCATATGATGGAATAATTTGAATCTTTTCGACACTTTTAAATAGTGTCGTTACCTAAACAATCAATTGTGCTAGGGTCTTCTTTACTTCAAGTGTGGCAATTTTTTATGTTATAAAGCTACTAAGATAATTTCACCACAGACTGCACCAATTCTGAATAATATATAATTTTTAGTAAATATACTTAACCTAAATTAAATAACTTCTATAAAATTTATTTAACATAAATCCAATGGACAGTCAAGTTTTAGTGTTTTTCTGCATTATTTAATTAAGTTCTTTTATAATTGTTTATATAATTTAACATCTACATATGCTTTTTGTTGTTGTAGAGAAAAGGAGGAAAAAAACCTCAGTTTTCATTATTTTATTTTTTTTCTATACCTACATTTATATCTAGTTCACGTCTCCCTAGAACTAAAGCCAGTATATATATGTTATATTATTTTTCAATATTTCTTATCTATATGTTAGACACCAAGTCTAATCAAAATTATATTATTGATCTGTTTATATTTTTCTTACCTAATTCTAAAATATTTTATTAATTTATTGTTTTAATGGCCAACAAATTTTTTAATAATTTTTTGAAAAATTTTCTTTTGTTTTTAAAAGATTTTATTTTTACTGATATTTCGACTATAATCTATAGTCCTCATTTTATTAAAAATGTTAGGTGGTGTTGAAGTTATTGCTTTGTAAATAATTTTTTTTTACAGAAAAAAATATATGCTACCTCTTCTCACTCGATAATACATAAATGTCTATTATTATATAGCATTTGCTTTATATAAGATATATTTATGATATATTCTCTATCTCATACAATGCTCTAAACACCAAGGGAGTTTGAGATGCTTTGGGAATTATGTGTCTAGTTCTGATAACATTATTGCAAATATTTGGGAATTGAAAGTAGAGTTCCTTTAATTTTCTTCTATATTTACGCAATATATAAAGTGATTTATTATTTTTATTATAAACTTATCTATTCTACATAGTATGAATGAGCGTCTTTATAAATATGTTATAGGTACGTGCTCTTAAGCATTATCATTTTAATATATTTTTTTTTCCTTATATGATGGGCAAATATTGTACCATATCGGACGTGCATAAGTAACTATTATTATTAGTCTTTTAAAAACTATCATATTATTTTGACGTCTCCTTTTAAAGGGGGAACGGATTATTCTTCTAATTTTTGCATATTATATTACAAATAATATATTATATTTTTTTTATAAATATTTTACATTGATGTATAAATAATTTATATGTATTAGAATTCAACACTTAGAAGTCAAGGCAAGGCTTACATCTGAATCGAAAGAGAATTTTGGATTATATATAATAAAATTAATAAATGAACGTCATCAGTATAAGAATATACAACAGGATGCTCCTCCAGGAGTTAAAGGATTCAATATATATATATATATATTTATATTGGCAATTGAATAGAGACATCAGAAAAAAGATCCGTATAGCAAAAACCAGTTACGGTAAATAGTAAATGTATACACAAAGGGATTTGTCATAAAATTCCCCCTTCATTGCTTATCAATGATGACAACGAAATCGTTTTTGACATAAATGAGAAGAAACGCAATTGAAAAATATATATTGACAATGTTTTTTCGGATAACAGTAGCTTAAATAATGGTATTTATCTTACAAGTAATTGAATGTACATAGTACAACTAAAGACTAAGTTAAGAAAGATATACAATCGATAAAAAACAACAAGGCAACTAGACAAGACGAGGTTACATCTGAAATTTGTAAATTAATTGATGAAGAAAATACTACTCTCATATTAAAATTATTTTATCATGTAATTCGATCTTGGATAACATCACGATCACTGGGTGAGATGTACCTTCAGTGTCTAAGAAAAAAAATGCAAAGAGCTGTAGTGAGTACAGACTTATCAGCATTATATCATATGCATGAAATATATTTCTTGAAATCATGCACGACAGAATATACAAAAAATGAGAGGAAGTACATAATGGAAAAATCACAACTTGGGTTTAATATATATATTATATTTATATGGTATATATTAGTTATTTATTTATACTTGCATAATTTTAATTTTAAAATATATATAATTCCTAATAAATAAAATTATTGATATATAATTTATATGATATATTAATTTAAATTCGATTATGTCTCAACAGAAATTTCTTACTAATAAAAATGTATTAGTTCATTAACAATACTCTAGGTCTTACTTCAGTGAGGAAACCGGTCGCATACTATTGTAGGATTGACCTAACACATTATAGCCGTTCTACTGAATTAAATATTTTTTTTCTTTTTTAAAAACATCGTTTTTAATCCAATCTTAACTATGTGTTAATTTATTATTATTGTTAAAGAATACTTAATAGATATTAAGTGAGAAGTGTGTTAGTTTACTGAACCAGTGATCAGTTCCCATTAAAATAATTTATAATATAATATTATCTATATTAATTCATAAGGCTTTGTTCGCTTTAGTCTTCTCAGGTCATTGGTAAAATCCAGTAGTTAAAAAGCTTCTACGTTGATGTGATTGAGTAGTCATTTTTCATGCCTAACAGCTACTTCTTGCATGGTTTATTTGAGACCTATAACTTTCAAGTCTTTATGTATTTCTTGATTTAATACATATCAATATGCATTTGTTATAATCCGTAAACATTTGTTTCGACTTCGCTGTATGATGTCTCGGTTCGTTTGTTTCTTACACCCCATAGGCATTAAATGCCATACATCCAAATCGGTTTCATGACAGATAGATAAATGAGCCTTTTACAATATAGGATAACTTGAGAATGGTGTGTAGAGGATTTAGACTATATCTATGGAACTTCAGCTCTGATAGTATGTATGTTCGAATAATCTTCTTTATATATAATGCTGAATGTTCTTTTTAATAAGTATGACTCAAGTAGTTGACAAAAATGAGCCGGCAAAATATTACTGATCCTATATATAAGGGCTTGAAATCATACATTGTCAAATGCTTGGGATACGTCTATAAACACTGCAGGACAGTATTTCTTTCCTTCAATTGCTTTTGCAATCATCTTAGTTACTTGATGAACTTAATTAACAGTCGATTGCTTAATCCTAAATCCAAACTGAAAATCAGTTATGTTAATAATAAGCTTGAGGCGTCTAAATAATAGCTTCTCGAATGGTTTTGAAATTCTTGGTAGCAATGATATCGGTCGACATGAGTTAACTTATTTGTTTTTTTTATTATGATAATTTTTGTTTTTTTTAACATATCGGTATGTATTTTAAGTGAGGACAGATATTGAATACATAAGTCATCGCAATAAATGATTTGCGTGGTAGTTCCTTAAATAGATCAAGTGATATTTCATCTATTTCTGTTGCTTTTTTTGGATTGCGGTTATAATCCATTTCTTGTGCTATTTCTATAAGTGTTATCAACATGATTCGTATAGTTTATATATTTTAAATAATTGGATTTATTTAAATGCCGTATAAAGTTGGTTTTATTTTATGGCAGCAAAACCTAACCTTCAAACATTTGTTAATAGACTTTTGTTATAATTCTGATTGTA